GGGGGGGGGGGGTGGGGATTAGGGGAGAAGGGGATTTGGAGGAGGGAAGATGAAAGCAGCTTGCCCTTGCTCACTCTTCCAAAGCTCGGCTGGTTGCACTGGAGTGATCGGCCACAGAGAGAGAGAGTCCCACGCCCCGGGACACAGGGGCAGCACTGAAAGGGTCCTGTCTCCATTTGAAGCCAAGCCTCTGAGGGAAGATGCAGATTCACAGCAGAAAACAGCTTCATTCCAAATGCATGATAAAGAGGATATGGAAGCAAAACACACCTCCCATCCACCCACCCCCATCCCAGAAAGAAACTGATTTATTGAAGAGAGAAATAGAAGAGGTGGAAAACTGAAGAAGAAAAAAGCAAGACGTGGCCAGTCAGGCGAAAGAATTCTCCAACTATGCAAGCAGCGAGCTGCACGAAGAAGGGACTTCCCCCCCGGCTTTGTGCTGGGCACTTTCCCATAGAAAGCCCCTCGGATAATCACACAAACTAGTAACTCACTAGTCGTACACTAAGTCCTCACTTAACTGTAAACCAAATAACTTAGTTGTAAACAGCACATTTCACCGAAGGCTAATGGATATAAACCAGGGATAAGTTATACGAAAAGACCTTGAACGAAAACTGCCCACAATCCTACTTCAGCAGCAGGAACCCTAGGGCGCAGGAGGATCCACTCCCTTGCCTGAGGCCACACAGCGAATGAGGAGCAAAGTGCACTGAAAAGCCATAAGCATGGCAGTCCTGCCTCCTGCCTCCTGCCTTTTGCCCTCTACCCTCTGCCCAGGGCGCCCACGCACCACCAGGAGGAGACACAGGCCACAAGGGCGAACACAAACCGAGAGAAGCCAGCAGGCTCCCAGACCAGGCTGGGGAACCAGTTGGAAACCTAGCCGGCGGGATGCCTGCTGGGGTCCCTCACGCCACGGTCCCCAGGAACTCTTGTCCCCTTACCCTCCACCCTCCGAAGTGGCACAGGACACAGTACAACCTGCTTCAGTCCCACTTTCCGGGGAGCAAGACCGGCAGGAGCGGCGCTGCACTAACGCAGGAGGTGTCAGCTCCTCTCCCGGAGGAGGCGGGGGGGGGCGCCTTTCCCCGCGGCTCTCCTTTGGGAGGGACTAGACCCGGTGAGACCGACACAGAGAAGGCGACAACCGAGCTCCACGCCTTACCCCGTCCATGGCTTTCCTCCGAGGCAGAGTCTGGGACACAAACCCAGCTTCCCAAAGCTGGATCCTGGGGCCCAGGGAACCCTTTGCTGCGCCTGCGCCGGCCAGGGAGCAATCATTGTCCCGGGACACACCTGAGCCCAGGCTGCGCACCTGCCCCACCTGGACGGCGGCTCCTCCCTCTCCCGGGGCTGGGGCCGGAGCAATCCCTTCGCTGGCCAGGCAATCCATGGCCCAGCTTCCCAAGACCAGGCGCCTGAAGCGGGGAGAGGGAGACCCCCTGTCCTGCCCTTGTGGGCAAGAGGCTCTCTGCCCACTGCTCCCCAGCAGGCACTCTCCAGGGGAGTTCACTGTGCCCAGGAGGGGGAGTCAGTGCGGAATGGGGCGCAGGGCTCTTGTTAGTACATAACACTCAGGTGGACAATGTAATCACCATCAGTGACAGCCTTGGCCTATCCCCGCCCATTGGACGGCTACAAAGGGGACAGAGCGTGCCTAAACCCCAGGGCGATTTCCTGGAGGCCAGAGGGGGAGCGGCCATAATGGAGCATCTGTTTTTGGCCAGGCGCTATCTAAGCGTTGGGGTACATTGTCATACTTCCATCTGACCATAGCACTGGAAGAGCTATGATCCCCCTTTAAAAGATGAGGGAACTGAGGCTCAGAGAGACCTTATAACCCGCCCCTGGTCACACAGGTAAAAGATAGAAGCATCAGGATTTGAACCCATGTCTGGCTGACTCTAAAGTGATTTTGTTTTTGCTTTTGTTTGTTCTGACAGAGCTGGTGCTGGAAACCCAACCCTCAGCTCCCAGGTCTCCCAGAGCTCACCCCGGTCCTGGGGGTTGGGAGCTGGCACAGCGTGGAACCACTGCTGTGTCTACTGCCTGCCATGGGCTGCCCCCACCCGTGGGACTTTTCATACTTTGTTAGGGCCAAGCTGCTGACAAAGCTCCTCCTGCCCCGTGCAAGGGCGAGGAGGTGGTGGCAGATGAGGAGAGCCCACCTGTGTGCCCATTTCCTCTAACAGGTGGTCCCTATACCTGCTCACCATCACAGCTGCCAGCGAATCTATTGAGAATACAGGCTTCAACACGAATCAGTTCTGGTCTAGGGTCTGGGAATCTGGATTTTAAATTAGCTTTTTAGGTCGGTGTATTTGAATAATTAATGACTCACAGCAAGCTAGAGCCTTTACATCATGACTCAGGACAGACACACATATACACATACTAAAATAAAAATTTCTCAAAATGTAATCACTCTAACTTTGGGTGTGGTCACACTGACGGTTTCTCTCCTTTTCTGAGCCATGATGTGCCATTTCATTTAAAAAATCCATGGCCAGCACACCTCACCACACTGACTTCATGACTCACAATTGGATCCACGCCGCCTTGTGGGCTCTGCTCATAATCAGAGTGGAGTCCACTCCTCCAAGCTAAAGGAGGGGCAGGCCAAAGGCGCCCTGTCACTTTCCGCACACCCCGTCCTCACTCCAGTCAAAGGCAAGGATGTCTTGTATACATTAGCAAGCAATACAATGAGGAATCCTCTGCAGAAGCTCTGGTGAGAACACAGAGCCCTCCTCCCAGCCCCAGCTGATAATTGGCTGTCAAATCCCCTTTGCTCTTAATGCAAGGGCTCCCCCTGGTGGCTTCTGACCAACCTACAAATGCAGAGGGAGCTGGACCAGGGGGGACTGGGAGCTCTGTGCTTTTCAGTTTGGTTCTGAAAAACTTACAATGGTAGGTCATAGGATGGAGCAGGCACTACTTATTGGTTAGCTCTTAGGGGGTGAGGGGGGGGGGGGGAAGGGTGGGGGTGGGGGATGTCCCTCAGCCCGACCTGCACGCTCTCCAATTCGGGAGCCCTCAGGGGATGTGCTACTGATGGCTTGGACCCACTCCCCATGGTTCTCTGCTCTCTGCGGGGCCTGCCTGCTCCACACCATAGGGATGGGCAAGCAGGCCCTGCTGGGTGCTGCCTGTGGGCCCTGCTTGCCTGCTGGGCTCACATTGCTGGGGTGATGCCACCAGCGTCCTGCCAAGCCGCTATGGGCACGGCCATCTTTGTTGCGGAGTGAAGATTAATTTGCATATTACTCTTTTGTTAGATAGGATGATCCTCTAAGTGCTAACCTCAGTTTCCTCACTAGCTGTTTGCCTTGGGAATGCCAACAACCACCTCTGAGTGTATGTTCCTCATCTGTAAAACTAGGTAAGAGGGTTTGCTGTGTTGGCTTAGGGATTAAGGTGTGTGAAAATTTCTATAGTTTTTAGCATTAAACAGGCACCAAACATTCAGTTCCTCTCTCCCTTTGCCTCTCCCCTTCCATTAACAGTGGCTGTGTCAGAGTCAAAACCCACATGCTCCACTTGGATGTACAAATGAAGTAGTAGTGTTTTACTTCCCCATAATTATCCCCATTTGCTGTAAGCCCCGGTCCCATAGTAGCAGGTCCTTGCATCTAGTTTGATATAAGGAGAACTCATGCATGCTTCCATGGGGAGAGGGCAGGGAAGATGAGGCAGATGCAAAGTACAGACATGGTGGGGAGGGTTTAGGATGTGAAATTTGGGGGTTGACCTCAGTGTAGAGAGAGCTCATTATACTTAGGAATAAGTAATTCGACTGGTGAAAGAAGTATGGGATCCTATAAATCCACAAGGTGCTTTGGTGGCTGGCTGCTAGTTCAGGCCAGGATACCTCTCTGTGATCTGCACTTAATCATGGACCCAGAAATGCCCAACTGAGTGTCTAATGCCTGCCAGGAACAGAGCCCCAGACCTTGCAAACGTCATCTTAGTTAGTCCTTATTTTGATCCTCATTTCCAGGAGAGGAAACTGAGGTACACATGAGGTAAGTCATGGATTCTGGGTAACACAGCAGGTGGAAGAGCAGACATGCCATACCCCAGTCTGGCTCCAGAGCCAACCCTCACAACCCCTCTGGTTGCTTCCATTTAAATCGTAGAGGAATGCGGAATAATCAACTCACAGAATCCGAGAGCATGAAGGATTCTTGCAAGGATGTGTTTTTCCAAACTCAATTTTGAAAGAAGTCAGGGAGAAAGCTTAGCAGATACCTGGGCTGAAGTTAGGCTCAAAATATTCTAGTCATTTCTGTCTTTCAAGCCCCTAGCCTCAGTGTGTTTCTCCTGGTCTTGGGGGATGATGTGGCACACTCTCCAGGAAGGCCCCTTCCATTCCTTGGCATACTGAGCAGTAGAAATCAGCATTTCCAGCATATTCTCGGTGCTTCCAAACCTTACTTTCAGACTTAGATACTGCTTGTAGTTTTTCAGTGTTTCCATTCACGTCTCAGACTTTCATTTCTCGGCAAACATATTGCTTACACTCTGCACCATAAGTAATGGTTTGTAGCAGAGTACGGTGATGTAAAAGAGGATTTTAAAAATATCTGAAAATGGGAAATCACATGCATTCTCCTCTTTCCAGCATAAACTTTAAGCGTTATATATTATCTGATGACAAAGCTGGAGCAGGTAGATTGATTGTCAGAATTAGGATGGTGCTGCTGGAGTAACCTATTATTAATATTAAAATTATTATTGGTTACATTAATCATTTCTGAGGATTTCCAGTGTAGCATGTAATTTATTTATGTATAATTTATATCCTGACTACTTTCAAAAGGGAGAGAAGGAAAGAGTACAGGAAGTTAGATTTATTGAGAGCCTATTGTGTAATGAGCTACACAGGTTACATATATTTCCTTGGATTCCTCGTGACAATGTGGTGAGATAAGAGATGTTATCCCTACTTGACAAGTGAAGAACATGAGGCTCAGGAAGGTCAAGGCAAATCCCCTGGCCATGCAGAGTATAGCTTATTCTCCGCTTGGACTCTGCCCTACCCCGATCTATTCTTCCTTCCTCCACTCCATGCTGTTTCCAGAAGGACTTGAGGGAGCGGACAATACAAAGCCAAGTGAACTAGGATGGCTAAGAGTGAAGATACTAGCCATGTAGAGGGCAGGACTGATGGGAAGGTAGGAAGGTACGGATAAACAGTGCAGAAATATGGGATGATTACTTCGAGGTACACAATCATTTAAAGATAAATTACTTAAGGGTAAAATTATGTGGGTTCAAGAAAGGGTCTGCTTCCTTTTCACCCAGTTTGTAAAAACTATATCCAGCTTGCTTATCTTTTGCCTTGAAGGAAGCTCACGTCTCAATTTCATGCTTATCTGAGTAATCATCTTAATAATGTGTAGTAAGAGCTTTCTGGAAGGATGCTAAGCAAGCATGACCAAGGCAAGTTGCTTCCTGTTAGTGGCCTGTTATCAACAATCTGAGGACCTACTTTGTGCCAGCTGCTGTGCTTGGATGTAGCAACCCTTTAGGTTCTTGAAAGGAAACTGTCTTCCTCTACTGATGCCAGTTACATTATGGATGAAGCACTCAGGTGAAGTATTAAGATGTTTTCTGATCTGCTTACCTTGTTGAGATCAAAGGAAGACCACTCCTCTGTGGGAAGGAGGTGGATTTTCCTGGAAGTAGGGAATCATTCCCAATATCAGCCACTCCCATTTCCCATCATCCAGAACAGTGGGTCCTTGGATGAAAAATTCAAGCTGGGACACCTTCCCCCGTCCTGCCACTCTCTCTTTGGATCTTGTTTTTTTTGGGGTCTGGATGTCAAGGGATAGTAATAACACATGACTGAAATGCTTGGGGCTTGGAGATAAGCATATAGGAGTGATAGGTCTCTTCACAGAATCTACAGGTCAATTGGTATGTGATTATGAATTATAATTTGGGTAGCTGATTTCTTATGTATTTGGGAGCTTTATCAAAGAGTTAGAATTGCTTTCCTTATGAGGAGTTAGGGAGGGATAGCTCTCCCCTCCACCCATGTACACACCTCCTTCTCTCTCCAACTGTTCCCTCTTAAATGCCATGCTTATGTTTTGTGGACTGAAGACCAATGTGTCATCATTTCTGGGTGGTAGGGATCAGATGACCTCTGACATATCACTGTAGGACAGAAGTATGGCAGGCAGGTGGTCCTATAGAAAACTCAAGCTAAATATATATAAACTTCGTTTCTTAAAAAAAAGCAAATTAGCAACT